GAGGTTCCTCGTCAGCCCAGTGGATCGATATAGTGGTGTATCATCCCGATAGGTAAAATAAAGTAATTCTTTTGCTTTGGTTCGCACGACTCAGTGGTGCTTGCGTTTAGAGTGGATTCCGAGCTACTCTTGCTCCATAAGGGGTCATTTCGTTGTTATTAGACGCGGAGTTCCAATTTAGCACCCTAGGTTTCTAACTTCAAGTTATCGGCTTTGACCGATTTGGTAGATATTACTTGAGGTACCGTCAAGGTTTCAACTCAGTCTTGGGGGCATATATCTAGGCAATTTAGTGAATATCAAGCAAAATATGTAAAAAACCAGTGATTTTTTGGTTCACTCAGAATTGAATGAGTGTAGTGCTTATCCATCGATGGTACTATACTGTCAACAGAATTCAGCGACAATAAAAACTCACGGCAGCAAAAAAATGTGGATTATTTTTATTGTATCATCATAGTTGGTATCTTGAAAGATTGAAATTATGTATATCCCATGTTAAAAATCTGAGAGTCCATATAATTTGTCAGATCAGGCAAATCGTAAGAAGCAAACTCCTGCCAAGCAGGATCCATGTTTAGGGTACGGCGTTGATTTGTTTGTAAGGGCATAATCGTTTTCCCAAACTGGATTAACCATAATCAAGATTGTTCGTCAGAGTTTTTTGCACCCTTCGATGTTGCGTTCCGTTTGCTTCAGTAACACATATGACACGTGACAAGACATCTGGATGACGATTTCGGCCAAATATAGCCGTGTAGGCCACCGATCAGGCTGATCAAAGTACACTACATCAAAACCATTGGACGACTAACTATGATCCTGTGGTCTGGGGAATTTGTGGTTGCTGTATCCAGTTTACCTCATTCGATGGCCGTGTGCAGAGCATATTGGAATTGCTCATAGTCTGCCTGCTGGATAAAGCGTGTTATTCGGCAAGTTCAGCTGCAGATTAAAAACCTCACCTGTCGTTCCAGAAGCAACTAATTCATCTGGTAGCCTGCATATTGATTTTTTTGTTTGTTGAGCAGTGAGGCATCGGTGTCAACACTGGTTTTGCTGTTTGATGATGTTGATGACGTTAAGCTGAGCCACTCGAGTTCCAACGTCTCATCACCAACCGACTTGCCGTCATCACCGCAGTGTTAGGCAGCAGGTTGGAGCTACCAGTTAGTCAGTAGTTCGCAATGAGTAGTGATACGAATGCGTCTTGATGGTAGTCAGTGACGATTTGTTGTTCGGTCGGGCGTTTCTATCGGTAGATCCGCTTTCCCGTGTCCTTATCGATCGGCGACCACGTGATCTTTGAGCTCGACCTCCATTGGTGATTCCCGATATGCACAGGAAGAACATCTCAACCGGAATACTGAAATATCGGATTGATAAACCAAGAAACAGGAAACTCTCTGGAGTCACGTCAACAAACGTTACAAAGTGGAACCCAGAGGTGTCAAGAGCAGAGGTTATTTTAGTGGACGTGAGCAGGAAAGGCCAGGCTCAGGACGTAAGATAACAGACCAGCTAACAGAACAGTCCGACCGAAGGACTAATTGTGATCGAAACAGTTCGCCTGAAATGGACCAGGTTTTGTCTCACGCAAACTGCTCTGAACCATAGTCCAACCTGGAGGGTCTAAGTGGATTACTTTCCAGAGATAGTGAAATAGTGAAAAAAATTTTAGTGAGTGATCTTGTTGCACAGCACATAGTTTCCCATAGACAGTCAACATTGTGACTTTTATTGGTACATATCATGACTTGTGGTGAAGTCCATTTTATGCTCAAGCTCAAAAGTTTCCGGTCACTTGACATGAGTTCGTTTAAGTCAATCTGAATCCCGCCGAGTGGCAGTTGTAGTTCTGTTCCGTCTGCGAATTTATGATCAGTCTATCAGTATCGCGGTTCCACATTCGTCTTCGATAGGCAGTGCGCTAGAATTTCCAGTTGTGTGTATTATTGCATCTTCTCACTCAAAGACTTCCATGCTTTCACTTTTGGTTCACACTGAGTATGTTTGTCCCAATTTATTGAACTCATACCCTCGGTTTTGATATTTCACTGTGAAACAGCGACGAACACGGGAATTTATTTGCAGAGAATTATTCTCGAGGCACCTACCTGAAGGTTATGACTTGGCCAGATCTACATACTTTAGCTGTACAAAAGTCCATGAAGGTGAATCGTTGTCTTATTTTGATCACATGTTGCCCTACATGCTGAGTTCTGCAACATTTTGAAAGTGAATATACACAGTTGTTCCCAGTTAGTCAGACCACCCTTTCTCGAAACTTAGAGCCTTGTCCTGCTGTTGTGGTGGTCTCCAGCTTGCTTAGAAATTGCTTATGTCTTCTTGATATACCGTTGGATTTGATTAGTTTTTCAATCTTTTCAGATATATCGGTTTCCGACAAACCTAGGAACAGATGGTTGCCTAATAACAGACCTGGAGAAGGGGGAATCTCTGACCGAGGTGCGTGCCTATTTCGTTTGATTCGTCTAATATGTTTAATTTGTTAAATTTTTTGATTTGTTAAAACTTTCTGCTAAACGATGAAATTTATTGTTCTATCGCAAAGATTTTCGTTGCCAGTTTTATCAGATTTACAAAATAACGATATTCATGTATTGACAGAAAAGCCTCTGACCAGGACTTAAAAGTGCCTTTCGTTTCCAAAGCCTCATTTTAGGTTCACCCAGAGGGTCTCCACGTGATTTTCAAAATAATCCTTCAGCAGCCTGCACACCCGAGAGCTATACTTGAGAAAGACTGCCTATGAGGAACGCAAACTTCCCATTCAAATAACTTGGAACACCTTAAAGTACTCTCAGTAAAACTGTGAAGCTACATTTATCGCGATACTCTCGGGTGTTCAGTCTTGAGTAATCTCAAGCAATAACTATGCTTGGAGGATGCTTGAACCACGTTACGAATCTACGCTATACTACTGATATTTTTCATCGGTGCTCTAGACTTTGTATGCGCTATTCTTTAAAATTCACCACTTCAACAGTGGAGCATACGTATAGGTGGTCTCTGTAGCGGCTAAAGAATAGTTGGCCTCTTGTCCATCGAAACAAACCTAGATCAAACGATTCTACACATGCTTAGCTATTTTAGTTATCCACAAAGGATTGCTTATATATAACCAGCAACTCATGCTTAGAAATTATATTAACAGCTGCAATACGTCTTTCATGGCCTGCGAACAAACAGCTTCAACTATCTCTTTCCGTCCATTGGTGGCTTGACAATCTTCGGACAGGCAGTGCTTTTCTAAATGGAATGAATATTCTGTGTTCGAAGTTAGGCGAGGACTTTGCTGGGAGTCAGCTGTTTAGAGGAACAATAACAATAAGCTCTCGGTTGATAAGTTATCAGAAACTGAAAGCTCTGCATTGGTCCACAAGCTAACAGATTATGGTTGCTCATGTGTTTTCTAGTGAATATCATAATTCCAGAAACATCAGGTGACTGGTTCTTTAAAAGACATTCTTACTTTCGTGTTAAAACGGTCCGAGCTTATGTTCCCGCCTAGTTCGCAGAGCTTCAAGTAGGCGCAAAAGTTACCAATCAAAGAATGTGTATCTGAAACACTGAAAGATGTTGGCTACCATGTGGACGGCGAGCCCAATGGGATGTTGGATTTTTGTGTAAACTGAGGAAACTTCGAACGTACTGTAGAGTGAGAGAGAGGGTGTAAAACGAATTCATCGTGCAAGCTTGTCATCCCTTCCGCTTGGTTCAATTTGTTCAAAAAGAGTGTATACATAAACAAATAGAATATATAGGATAAATTAACTAATTGTGCTTGCGTTTACCACTCACATGCGGGCAAAATCTAAGAACAGAATAGAGGCATTGAATTTCTGAGGGTGCCAGTTGTCTAGGGGCCGAACCAATATATACTGCCTGGAAAATCACAAACGAGAGATTCAGCTGGGTTCCAGGTGAGTCTCTCGAAAAACCAAATTAGTTTGCAAATGAGTGTATTTGGTGGAATTTTTTTGTTTGAAGTAGAACATAAGGTTGACGGAAACCCGGGGACTGCGCCTACCTGATGAACACCAAAAAGGTTGAAACCGGTCGTGGGCTGTCGACGGATTTTCAGCAACCTTATGAGTACTGTATTACAATATAATTCCAGTTAATTGCTGCCATTCAAAGGAGAAGGCTCGGAAAAAAGCAAATCATAACAGGCTATTTCTAACCCGTGAATCATTCGCTTATTCTCACTGTAACCTAGATTACATGATTTCAATCTCATTTCGCCTATTATAAATAGCCACAAATTTATTCAGTTGTCAGGGTGGACAGACCGTCGTCAATAGAGATTGTGCGGGAACCATCCGAGTATTCTGCTGATAACGTTGAGTACACAACTGAAAGAGGTAGGTCGTGTGAAGTTCAATGTTAGTTTTCCCTGATGGTTGATCGAAATGCTTCTTGTGTAGTTCGGTATTAGGTCACTATGTTCGGCCCATATAGTCACATGTTTTCTGGCTCAGAAGCATCAATCGGTGTTTCCGTGATACCTCCAACTTTTCTTTTTTTATTCTATGCTACTGGTGACAGTTGCGAGTAATGCCTGCGTAGCATCACACATTGGGCTATTGCTTAACTTCATACCTTGCCTCGTTCAAGTCTTTCAGATAATATCTAGAAGAGCTTAGAAAAAACTGGTTCCCATAAACTTCATGCAGCTGATGCTTTCACCTTTGTGTTTTTCTTTTATATCCACTTTGCTTATGTTACGAGACTCTTCCTTTGCATTAACTTGAAGTTATTTGGGTGAGGACAAGACTGATACATCGCTGGTCCGATTGCCCCTTCGTGGCCGAGCGTTGTCCATCCTGTTCACGGTTCGAAAGGACCCCATGAAACCATATCGGCCTACTGCTGGTCTCGGACTCTATTCGTCTACGACAGGTGATGAAGTCCTTGAAGGTAACCATAATGGAAGCAAACAGTGACCAGCCATACTTCACGGTGATCCTGCAGGATTATCCGTAATACACTTCCTGAGTCGTGGAAAGATCGTCGACAAGAGTTATCTCGAGCGTTGTCCATCCTGTTCACGGTTCGAAAGGACCCCATGAAACCATATCGGCCTACTGCTGGTCTCGGACTCTATTCGTCTACGACAGGTGATGAAGTCCTTGAAGGTAACCATAATGGAAGCAAACAGTGACCAGCCATACTTCACGGTGATCCTGCAGGATTATCCGTAATACACTTCCTGAGTCGTGCAAAGATCATCGACAAGAGTTATCTTTGGTAGGACCTAGGCGAAATCTACTGGCCCAGTAACAGACGAGAAGCTGGCGTGCATACCACAATAGATTATCAGGATATTGCTAGGTGACATGCAGCCCGATGGAAGACAAGATTTATCGCGAGCGAACGACCTGATGGAGGTGGACTGGGTGAAAGTTCCTAGCCTGAAAACCAAATAGTGCGTCTCCACCTCGATTGAGAATTTCATTGGAAGGATGAACGCCAACAACCTGTCATTGATAGTAGTCTTTTAAAGCAATCTTTTTCGGGGTCGATCCGCTAGTGCAAACAAAAGTGCAAGCTGTTGCAAGTTGGAAATCGCGTGTAGCGCCAGCCCAACACAGAAGCTGAAGTGTTACTATGGCATAGGAGGAGGAATGACCTAAACAGACTTTGCCACCGAGAGTGGTGAATGGATGCCGTGTGAGGATTTCCCGCTGTGGTGCGCTTCGTATTAGTATGCGGATCAGAAACCTGGCCGCTGCGCACCGAGAACATCAGAAGCCTTTCAGTGTTTGACCACTGTTGTCTTAGGAGCATTGTTCTAGTCTGATGGGAACAGCGGGTCAGCACTACTGAAGAAAGTGGAATGGTTTTCTGAAGAGATAATTCGCCTACGATAGTTAAACTGATAACCCCCCCACAGATCACGCTGGCTTGGCCACGTACTCCATATACTGGTAGACCGACTTCCACGAAGGGCTCTTTTTGCGCAACCACGTAAAGGCTGGAAACGGGCAGCGAATAAGAAAAGCCATTACCGGCAGAGTTGCGTTGGAAGAAAGTGGAATGGTTTTCTGAAGAGATAATTCGCCTACGATAGTTAAACTGATCACCCCCCACAGATCACGCTGGCTTGGCCACGTACTCCATATACTGGTAGACCGACTTCCACGAAGGGCTCTTTTTGCGCAACCACGTAAAGGCTGGAAACGGGCAGCGAATAAGAAAAGCCATTACCGGCAGACTCAGTTGCGTTGGTCATTGCCGTCTCCTTGGATGGAGGCCTTGAGATGGGCCGCATCAATGACTACAGACACTACCAGACACGACCCGGTCGCGTCCTCATTTGCGCACGTGTATCCAGGCTATTGCTTTTATTGCGTAGCTCCAATCCCAACCTCCCTAATCGAAAGCCAACCGATAACCTGGTGTTCACGCATCAATTATATCAGCTACCACCGTCGACACACAGCTGTTTACCCCATCTCCCCAAACCATCAGTGAACCAGACTGCAGCAGCTAGAACCACTGTATTGCAAGTACACGGATCTTACAGCTGGTGTTGACGAATGATGATGATGGTGTAGAGATCGATGGTGTGTCTTCCTTTACTGTGCGTATAAGTGTAATATTACTCCATTATCAGCTCAAATATGAAATAGACAATTTCCTGAATGGCCTTTCTCAAAGACGCAGAACTACTGGTCGACCTGAGCTATGACATGATTAAACTGCACAGGTACTCAAGTACCACCGTGACAGGTTTAAATGCTTTTATCTTGCGGCGTTTGCATAATGCAGACCTTGGCCAAGAAATACGAAAACTATTCACAAACAACGAAGGCCCTCTTTGGTTTGATAGATGAACCGACTGTGGTCGGATTTATTCCAGCCCTGTATCCCACTTTATGCACCAGGTCAGGTCAAAAGGTAGAACATTTGAGCACTTGACTTACAGTATTTTACAACATCAACGTTCCTTGATGTTGGACGGAGAATTTAATCTTTTTCAACGCGCTCTAAATACGGTTAGCTAGATCGTATGACTTATTTGTGACCTTCGTTGTAAAGTCAATGTCCGATTTTCCTGACCAAAGTTTGACCGGTTTATGATTACGTTCAGCAATGCTTACCTTTTTAACATCAGATGATGAAAGGAGGAAAATGAGTATGATCCAGTTTATCAAAAGGTGTATTTCTGTATTTTAATGCAGTGTGGGGCTCAAATGTTCAATTGTAACAAATCAAACTAATAATCAATCAGTTGAACTGACAGTTGGACATGCTGATAGCATTTTAACTTCCCTCTCCTGTGCACCCTAAGGTCTTTTTTCATTGCATTTATTCCCGATAAAGGATGACCAGTAGAATGCACATATGGCTCAGCGCTAAATGCATGTGGCATAATTCACTGTATGAAGAGGTTCTTCGTTATCGTTCGAACGAAAACCGGATGCCAGCAAAACATCCGGCAACGTGTCGGACTAGGGGTATCCCCGGTATCTTAATCGATTATTGATCAGGTGGCGGTTGATCTGTTTCGTCACCATTCAGAAAGAGGTCATCAGAAGTGCATTGAAATTGTGTGATTTCCTACCTCAAGGATAACAAACCTTTCAGAACCCTATTTTCGGTGTATTTATGATTTTTAGGGAATGAAGAAGCCTCAGTCTGGACGTTTTCCAACATCTGGCGCTGTTTTCTGACATAAACAGCATGAGCACAGCCTTGTGCGCGCGACATTTTCAAAATTTTATTGATTAACGTGGACATTTCTCAACGGGCCTGATCTCAAGCAGCCCACGTCTGTAGTCTGTAGTTGCACTTCCGGCTTTTGCACAGTTAAGTTGGGTTGAAAATCTGCTCAGAGTATGTAGAGAATAAAATCGTTAGCGTAGCACTTGTATTACGCACTGGTTTCAATCACATACTCTGAATCTGGTGTTTGTATGAGTGCGCTTTTCCAGTTTCTGCACAGCCATGTGTGAAATCGGGGTTCCATGGTCCCTAGATATCACTAGGCTCTATATTAGTAGTGCTGGTTTCTGACCGGAAGTTAGTGTGTCGCTGTTGTTACCCATGACAACTTGTTTGGATTGGGCTTCACCACTTTCAGTGACGCCATTAAAAGGGCCCAGTTAGCCCGTGTACAACCGTTGTCCAGCCGTGAATGGCCTGTGGAATCTCCACTACATCCGTTACAATTCATTTGTACGGTTGTACATGCGTGGTATTGTACAGAGAAGGAATGCGAATTGCGGTTTTGCATAACCCCGTAGCTTGAAACGTAGACAACTTGTGTTTGGTGTCACCAAAGTTTCCCTCCAAAGAGACTAACCGATGCTCACTTGACGACCCTCGCCAGTTGTTTGCGAAACAGAGATGTGATACCCAATATATTGTTTGATAGCATACAAATACTGTCAGTATGAACGATCACTGCAAGTTCCGCTTTTTTCAATTAGTTGTGTATCCTTTGAGACCAGCATACGAATATGATCATCATTACAATGGGCCTGATTCGGAATGGACCCGCCATCCAATGGGTAAGTGTATAATTTGTCAGTAATCAGCTCACGTCCTTCTCTTTTCAGTTTTAATGGGATATGTTGGCTGATTTAGTTGAGTGCTTTTCAGCTTAATTCCCTATTTCAATGGCACAAAGGCGCCGCAATTTACTCATGATGCGAGCTTTACTCAAACCAAATAAAATCCCGACCATAAAAGGCAAGACACCAAAAACTAGGAGTCTGTAAACTCCGGAATTAATTCAAAATCGATATTTCTAGAAAACAACCGAACCAACGGTTATCAATTCAGCTTGAGTCATCGGCATCTTCCTCAACTACAAAATTAGTCTACATTCTTGCATTGGAACACCGAGTTGCCGCTCATCAGTGCATACCCAAACGATGTGGTACGATAGTCTAATTGGAGCGCGAGAATTCATTTGCACCAGTGAGAGGATATCTACTTTGAAAGAAACGAGACAAGTTAACGAATACTCCAGGGTAACTGAAAAACTACGAAAGAGTTTCTGATTCAATATTCGAACTCGTAGGGTCATTCCTACCAATGTATTTTCTCTTCAGAATGCACACCTTGCGGTTGTGTTTGAGACCCTTTTGTAAACACAAGCAACTCTCCATGTTACAAAAGCGAAAAGCGGCTAGCAGACTGTTAGAACATGTTTGTTTGCTGGTTACTTACTTAGTCTATGGGACGCTTCCAATTTATTGAGGATGTTCTAGTGTACCCTCCCCCGATTTTTTCCCACAAACCGTTTACCTTAGCGATTGGCCCTACTTGTGACTGTAGTCACTAGACAAGGACTGAAATCTCGTTCACCAACAGTCTTTCTAGGAAAACTGTACTTACGCTACATCTTCAAAGTACAGTATGCGCCTAATCAGCCCCTTTTTTGCTTTGGGTGCTTTTCTGGATCCAGTGTTGAATAGCTCCTTAGGGCAAGCGTAGGGTTGATCCACTCAGTCAAAACAAACTGCGTGACTTGTTGTTGTTGCTTGATAATTCATCAAAATAGGTTATCTCTGATCGACTGAGTAACGAATGACCGCTCCCACCTCTCAATGTCAGTATGCTCAGATTCCGTAAGCTTCTTACGAACGACTGAGCTGATTCCTAGCTGAATTTGAAAATGCTGCACACAGCGGTCTCATGCTTTTGGCACTATATTACAGATATGTTTTATTTCAGCTGTGTATTTCATTAAAACCCAATTTATTTGGATGAATTATGTTCAATTTGGGTTCAAGAAAAAAATAGCGTTCATGGGACCTGTGCCTACATAATGAGCCCAAAATATGCGAAACCGGTCTTGGTTTTTCTAAGAGTTTTCAGCAACCTTCTAAGCCTTGTCAATTCAGGCAAACTTTAAGCCTGTATTCGGCAAAATTGTTCTTACTTGCACTTACGGAGCTCAGAACGGTAGCAACTCTTTGAACACCACCGACAATGTATAAATAATCCATCTGAACAAGCTCGTAACGACAGTGTGTATCCGTAGAAACGCATATGCTCTCGCCTGTGTTCATCACATTGAGAACAAGTACTGAGGTTTAATTTCCATCTCCGTCTTACCGTCTTCCAGTGAGTGCTGTGGGGCGTCCTAATTAGTTTGCTTAGTGTGATTGTCCCTTGGACTGAGAGTGAACAAACAAGTAAACCCGCTTAGCTAACCGGCAGTTCAAACTTACACAGGGTGATATGTATCGTCCGGCTAGGCTGGAATAGGACTGAGGTTGTATGGTGATACGACTTATTGAAGACCGATTTAGTGTGCAAACATTTTGCATGACCTACGAATCAATGACGCCCCAACATACTCTGTCATGTTCTATAAAGCTGGCCCTTTGGTAGCTCAAGAAACCAAGTGCGGTAAAATTTCGGTCTGGAGTTGTTTGCGCTTAGTTTGAATTTGACTTACACGTACAAACCCATAACAGTACTACTCTTGTTCGAATGATATGTACGCATTCATGCGTCTATGGTTCCCGCTTGGAACATAAATTTGAAATAGCTAGTTGGTAAACCTACCTAGATGAGTTTCAGTCTGCATACCCTTTATGTCATAATCTACCCCATGGACTTGCTATTAGAAAGAGGTGAAAATCAATTGTGTGCGTGAGGTAATCAACCGGCCGCGCACCGATGGTGTCTCCTTGACTGGCAACGAAAAGTTGGAGGACTAGCTGCCAAGCTCAGTAAGCAGATAAATGGACACCTAGTAAACACAGTTGGCAACTTCTCACATCTATCCCTAGTTGCGATTTTAGCGAAGTTTACGGAATGTGAGACGAAACCTCAAGTTAAGAAGTTAACCAACACAACACTTAGTTCACTCTCCAAGTTGTTCGTTCTTCTTTCAACTTGGTGGACAAGACTGAGTACATAAATCCTAATGAACACATAGCACCGTTTCGACCGGCACGCCAAACTCCGAAAAACCAATTGAGGGTGACAAGCAATGTATTTTGGTAATACAGTCATTTAGCGATCTGATCGTGGCACCCTTTGGTGTCCGAATTAAAATACCACCGTTCAGAGCTATCGTCAAATATCCCGAGGGACCATATGGTTCCCTTGGGACAGTAAAGGTCAGAATTTTCAAAACAAGTTGTGCACTAGTTACTGATCTATTTTCACAGGGTTATGAAAATGGCACGTACATGATGCAGCGAAGTTACAGGCATCTAAAACACGTAGCCAGCCCAGTATCTGACCAGAGCTGCATCAGTTTAAACGGATCGACCCTCTGAAATCATCTTCGTTTGGTCCATTGGCAAACGCTTGAAGTTCTGGGGCTCAAACAGATCTGGGAGTCAGATTGTCGTAGGTACGTCTAAGTGCAAAAGCTTTTCCCCAGTTTAACTGTGGGAAAAGATATGGCAGAGATTCTTGTACACAGTTTATCTCCAGTGTCTAGTTGTGAGAGATACTGTGGTATTTTGAGTGTTTTATAGCGTGTGATTATATGATTAGGAGTACGGCAAAGCCTTACCCTCCGAACGCCTTAACGAAGTTCACTCATACTATATCGTTATTGATGTTTCTTCCAACTACGAGCGAGTCCGTATCTCAATACCACTGCTCTGCTCCCTCGTTGCTGCTGGCTATATTCTTAACTGCGAAGCAGCTGAGGAACGAACCCCTCGGGCACGAGACGGCCCTTGTACACAGTTACCATGCTCTCCCCGATTTCAGTTACGTGACCCATGGTAGTGCATATGGTATTCGATGTACATACACATGGACAGAAACCGAACGGTTAATCCTAAAAACATGGCACATGCGAACATTTGAGGTTTCTTGGCGATCCTGCTGCAGACGAGGCGTGAAACTTTGGTGCTGAACACTTAGGGATTCTAAAGCTACACTTTTCCCTTCTGGCCTCATCAACACAAACATGTGTGTGCCGTATATTTTTGGGCTTTCAAACTATGTGCGATATCTCTCATTTCTTCTGAATTTTACAGTTGAGTACTACATTGAATATACAGGTGAGTGAACTCGAAACATTCACATAACTAGATTAGTCTCACTTGAACATATGAGGAGTTGCTTGGAACCAACGTTCAGCAAAATGTGTGACTTTTCACAATAAATAGTTCGCGCTTATTTCTTGTGGTCAGATATCAGTCACATTTAAAAATTATCTGAGTGATTTGTTATTGGAGCATGATACAAACCAGCCTAATCATTCGAAAGTGTTCACTATTTACTTCCACTGACTATCCATTTTGGATATGTCCAGTAGATTCCTGCAGCACAGAATCATACGTAGTCCATTTGGCAGTTGCTTGAGTGGATATTTGAAGTTGCTGGATGAAGTGAACTTTTGGATTGAGTCATCTGTTGAAACGGATGCGATCGCTGTCTTCGTCTTCCCTCTTGTTTTTTGTCGAGACACTCGGTGCGATAGTGCATTGGTATGACCAAACGTGACGTTGGTTTGTAGGCTATTGTGGAACCGCAACCCAAATGAATAGTAGCTCAGCGTTTAAAGCTAATGTGTCTTGCACCTGGTGGTCATGCAGAGATTCAAGGATAGCCAAAATGGTTTGTATTCAACGGTTGGTGCAATTTCGCTACCACAGGAATCAGGGGTAACCTTTATTTTAAGTCTGGTTGTAATGTTTCTTCGCTAGTGGGATTGAGTCACTTGAAAAAAACATGTGGTAGGACTGCATTACTCCAAAACAGTGGGTGTGACAATGATAGGAAATTTTCGGAATGCTGTAGGTTACTTGTCAGTCAGACACTAGAAAGTGATTAAAACTAGAAGAAGCTGTTTGACAAGCGTGCGGTCACATCCACTCCATTTGTTTGGATAGCGAGATATTCAAAGGAGCTCGCATGGTCCATAAAAGGGGAGGCAATAATAGTGTAGTAACTTGTCGCAACTGCGTGGTAACTGCTGACATGTTCCCGATGGCCTATATCTTCCTCGGATAGAACCTCATTCACTGTTTTCAGTAACTGACCGTTGTACATCATAAAATGAAAATGTTTTGGAAGATGGGCGGTGCAAATTTTATACCGAAAGGAGGACGGTTATATTGATACAAACAACCGTGTGTTCACAGTTAGTGTTTGGCGGGTGTGTTTGAAGATAGATAGCTAAGTAACCTTCTGCCTTCCAGGAAGGGGACCACTTGATCCTCACTGCGCCTGATTGGAGACGCCACAAGATATAGCTGCCACTCGATGTTAGTGGCATTTTGTTACCAATTTATATCCAGCTTGCCTGAATGGGTGTTTGGAGGTGTATGCACATTGAACTGATCAGAATTAAGTCCCTTTCTCGTAAAATAAAATAATGGAATCGATTACGGACGTGGGGTGTCACTATCTGCAAGTCGACTTACTGTAAGGCGAACAACTTGCCACCGGTGGCTATGGTTGCTTCATTATGTGTCCCCTCTGAAGATATCCACTCGGTCTACTGAGTTACGGAGGCTTTGCGTCGAAACCGGGTCTGAGAGTGCAAATTGTGTTTGCTGATCATCGGAAATTGGTTGACAAACTTTTTTCCCCTCCCTGTTTACGTTAACCTGGATGTCGGCGCGTCGTTTGGTCTAACAGAATAAAAAATACCTACGTCGGAACTAAAAGATCACGCAATATGTGAATTGTATGCGAACGTCGTTGGTGCCTTGGGTACTAGTGGTTGTAGGCAGATAAATCCGACCGGCACAGCCTATTTGCCCTCAGTCTGCATTGCCGAAGAGCCTGAACTCGACCAGCAGCATGTGCGCAGCTTTTGCTTATTGCTAGTCAAGCTAAATCAGATGCAGTGAAGAAGGCACGACCGTTGTAGCGCAAAACGTTACCGTGGATGCTTAGGTAATCCGCTAAACTGCTTCAATTAATTGAGACAACTTCGGTATTAATGAGATGCCTGACGGCCAAAACAGTGACCCTGGATTCACTCAGAATGGAGTTAGGGTTAAAATTCCATTGGACAGGGATTTTCAACTAGTCTCAGTTCCGATCATATTCAGGGTCACTTCATTATCCTTCAGGTTCATAGTTATCAAACGACAACGTCTCCAGCCTCATTCATCTTTCTATGTTCCTTTCTTTAGGATATTTCCCTTCAGTGGCTAACCAGCTAGTTTCATAAAGAAGGAAGGCCCAGAAATTTTTACTCGGGTGGAAGGAGAAAAATAAGGTTTTGTACAACCTGTATTCCCTTCTCGATCGGGTTTCTCCTGTCATTAGAGACTCTTGTGTTCTCGTAAATGATGTATACCTTGAGGTCGATTGTTTGTGAAAAAACACGTCAGAAACATGCCCATTTTCAAACTTAACGATCACTGTGGATGACCATTTCCAGTGGCACAACCTGTCCCTAATTTTTCACCACTTCTATGTTTATCTGACTTTACATTGTACTTGATGAGAGTACAAAACAGAAGCAACTTATAACCAATGCTTTATTCAAAGCAGAACCAACATATCGATATGTACAACCTGCAAGATCCATGAAAGCGGTGTACTTAGTGGGTAAGCTTCGATTTCACTGTAACTCAAAATCAATCGCTATGTACTAATGAATGATTTACCTTAATATTACTATGGTAAGCTAGCGTTTTATGATGAATGGCTTATAGTTGAACGCTAAGATATTGCGTCCAGTACCGTCAATTCTCATATGGAGGTGCTCAGCTTATGATCAGCCAGTCCCTGCTAAACCAGAACTAAATGGTTAAAAGCATTTCACCAGATTTACTTTATTTTGGCTCAATGGCAGTATGCAGCAGCGCGTAGAAACAACGTACACATTCTCTATTGGCTTCAAAAACGCCCGTCGAATTCTCTAACAGATTTTTCCTTCTCAAAATAGTCTGACATTCTGGATTATCTGTACATTTAATTTGGAAGATATTGCACAGACGATGGAGCCCGTACGCGTCGCCTGTAAGGCTTCATGCTATTTTGCTGCAGTGAAGACTGTACAACAATCCAACAGATACAATACAATCTTGGTCTCCGGGAGCAAGTGACGATTGGTAGAGACCCGTTTCTCAAGGCTGCCAAATATTGTACTGGCGTTTACTTCGTTACCAAGCGTCGGGTCTGTAGATAAGGTACCAGAAACCCGTGGAGCATGCTGTCGCACAATCATTCAGCAAAATACCTCTATAATGTAAACGATTTGTTGGTTGGTTGACTGGCTGGTTGACTGACAAAGTATGCATAAGGTTCGAGGTATCAACCAATAGCTGACAATTAGCCATGCGGACTTGGTCAACTGATCTTGTTGACATATATTTTGCGTTTAAAGTTTTAGCAAAAGTGTCCTTTTCGTTTCAGTATTTATATCCATCTGCACATCCGGTAGTCCATTGATGATACGCATCTCTTTTTCCGTTATTGCTTCATTTGTAGCTCCACGAAGAAATCGCGTTCTCTATTGGTGAAGCTATTTTTTCTGTTTGAAACGACAAAATCTCTTGCATTCTATCTTGCAGAGTATTATTCATCAAGCTTTTGTTTGCTCTCTGAACTGTGAAAACGTTTGGTTATATTTTACTTTGATTTCCATCTTCCTGCACGAATACACAAAAGGAACTATATAGCTAATACACCTAGCCTGTATTTGGTATTATCTTCTAAATAATGCAATGGGCAAATATCTTGCGTAAAGTTCACCGCCACTATCATTACCATCGTTAAAAAATAATGCGCTTTGATGTATAGCTAGCATGCCTCCCCCGAAAGAAACTCCAGGACAGAGACTGCCAGGTTCCTAAGGTCTAGACCAGGGCAGTCGAGATACTTTTGTTGATTTTGAATGACGACCTTCCGGTCAGCGAGTTTATGCCGCAAACGCTGAGCTGCCTGGAGCTCAGTTAAAATTTACCAACGGATAAACCGGCATGCGACAATATATGAGTTAAGGTGCATTATGTAATTACAAGGGTGGATTTCTATCAGAGCTAAACACAACCCCTCGTGGTCGAGAGTTCGAAACTCAGAGTTTTATGAAGTGCTCACCGCTGCTGTTCCCCAGTCAGTTTTCCGTATTCCTCGAGTCATTCTTGGTTACGGCCGATAAGTTCGAATATTGTTGCCTGGAAATTCACAACCATTTTATATGGCATTTTGATGAAAATTTCATTATCCAGTCCGCGTCATTACATTTAATTCAGTGACGATCTCTCTAAGTTCGGCTGTGATCATCAGTCAAGCCACTAAGTTTAAGACCAAAATATCTAGTCTTATCTCCAGCCAGATTATATGAAAAGTCTATTAGTTCAAAAGCTCCGGAATCAGTATGCAAGCTTATCAGTTTGGGCTAATGACACGTTAGTCACTTCGTAAATGCTCCCTCCTTCTCAAGCCCCACTTCTATTCCTTCCAGTTTACACCGAGTAAAGCAGCTTTCATACGTGGCTCAGCGCACTTAACGTTACCCGTTGGGGCAGGGATCCAATAAAGCATTTCGATGTGACGGGCCGGTCAGGGTACTGATGCCAGTCCACACAGTCAAACACCTCTGTAACGCTGCACCGACGTGTTGACTAACTTCATGCTGAAAGTGTTTGGAGCACCCACATTTATGTTGGCCGGTATGACTTGGCACGCAGACTGCGGCCTGACCTCTGTTAAAATGTTGATACCAAATCTAGTACCCATGGCAGGCCTAGCATACCTCCATTGACGAGGAAAATGGGCAGTTTTAGGCTGTGGTGGAACACTCTACCACTACTCTACTATTAGCACCGCAGTTTTCCAATAAGCCATCGATGAGCGAGGCATGTGCGTGATACATTTTGTGGAGGAACAGTTGTGTATTAGAATTGAAGTGGCTGATACTGGATGCCCACGGACAGATGGCAAACTGGGCTGTTTCAGTTTCTAACTGACCTGTATATGGCGAATTTGATTTACTATCCACTTCCGAACATTCACATAGAGCTTTGATGTAGCTGTCCTTAGAGTAGTTGCCACTCTCACTGTCTTGTCCAACACCGATCAGCATGCAAGGCACAAAAAGAAATGAAGTGTGCTTCACTCGTCAATTTATTTACAGTTCTGGGCTTACCAATTACGTAGAATTATAAGGCGTCTGTGGGTAGTGGCTATGTAAAGCACAAAAGCAAAACTGGCAATAACCTGAGTTGAAATAGCTTCGGTGATATGAAAACTTCACGAAAGCGAAGAAATCTAAAGAATTTCACAGAGGTCAGTGTATGAAAAAGACGGAGACTTTTTAATATGCAAACACGACTTTTTATAGATAGACACAAGTGCACGTCAATAGCTGTTTGAGGAGGAATCTGTTAATGAGAGAGTAGGTACGAGCATACTCGTCTCTCCCTGAACCATCGATCGTGCAGTGGCAGATAAAGCTGAATATGCCGTTTTATGATGATATGGTTCCCGTCTAGCAACGAGCTGAATACGACAGGCGAACAGTTTAAATTAAACGATGACGTATACTAGCTTGGACGAGTGAGTTGACACTAATCGGACAGGAAAACGACCGCATAAAATAAACGCAAACCGGAGATTGTAAGTGGGGAACGTGCCACGACAAAATATGGACGATTATACTACTAAAATCTTCCATGCACACACATCCGGGTGATGAAATGGTTTGGGCAAGAATCCATGATATATCTGCTGATAGTTACGTCTTAGTAGGAACACATGCCGGAGGCACTTAGAACGATTTAGTGTGAGGTCATGAAGCCATTACCTTGGAGCCTGTGTTGCCGTTTCGAAATGGCAAGGTTTTGCTAGTATTACGCTAACATGAATGACGTCAGTAGATTTCGTGAAAGTACGATAACGGTTGTCAAACTCTGAAGTATCAGTGTGAAAAGCGAATGCAAATGGCATTTTGAGCAAAAGTTAATGTGCCCTAACTCACCCATGGTGATAAGACGATTTGAGTCCGCGTGATTTTGATAGGATCCTCTTTTGGTTCAACGGAATAATCTATAGTGATCCGAGGCCCTGTAGGATAATCATTCGGCTATAAATTACAGTTAGTAAACTGGGAGTAAATGAAAACAGGTCGCACTCATTCAACAAAAATGAACAAACTGTGCCTTCGAAGTCCTCTCTGACCGGTCATGTACAGTTTATGCTTTTTTTATACTATGGAGAGTAAATGGAAATTTGGTTTTCCCACTGGCTTAATCGAGTGATCCCAGAGCCTATCAACACAAATTTGCCATTTTTAGTTGATACTGTCATTCAGTACCTCAGGAAGGGGCACCCTGGGACCATCGAATGTGCGTGCCGTGCAGGTTAACGGAGGATAACTTTTATCAGATGTGGGTTGCTAACACTTTGACAGATAGCTCACGTTCCTGGCATACGTTTTCATTGTTCCGCCTGCCTCTGTAAAGGAGGGCAATGAAGCTATTCTATAAAGGTTGGATACGGGAAGTTGGGAAAGTAACCCAGGATAAGAAGTCCCGGTACACTTCTGGCGGTCGTTTGTATGATTCTACATGTCGTTTTTTAAAGTCAGGATGGTTTACACACGATCACATCCACCTTTTCGACGAAATGACCGATTAGTCACCTCAGTTGAATAAATCTGATCGAAGTCTTACGCATACCGCAGCCACCTATGAATTTTTCAACTAAGAGATCCTAGTAGATATAACATGAATCAGAAGAACAAAAGGAACATTTCGCCAAATCCGTTTTGGACAGTAACAGCTTCCTTAACGGTGACACTGATACACTTGGTGTTTTGTACGAGCAGTAGAGTGCGGTTAACATCATACAATGGATGATCACTGATCCACTGACACTTTGGACGTTTACGGCAGTCACCGTAACAAGTGACAACGAGTAGTGGTGACCTTCAGAACCCACAAGTGTGTGTTCATCTTCACACAGACGACTGCAGCCAATGCGATATTTTTTTTTACAGTCCTTACTTATGCTCAGGGAGATTAGGAGAATTTTTAATACGGAAAAACTGTGCCCAATTAGTCGCCGTGACAACAACGGGCACAGAGTAAACTTGCGGCCCACTCCGGTGGCACGTGCAAAGTAAATTATCCTAGACCGATACCCTGTGCAGCGAGACAGCCGTCTCGTGGCCAGCTAGTTGCGCGCGCATGTGCGTGCGTGGGGGTGAGATTTAGCAACTTATGTTTACCTGCTATCCGGTTTGCGACATGTTCTTTGTGTCTGTCATTGTTTGAACTGAGGTCACAGACCGAAGACCGGGTGATGGGTAAGCGTTACCCTCACAACCGAACAACAAATATCTGTATCCAAGTCTCATTAGTGACATCTTAAGCTGCATATGGCAGAGGTCCGATGGACGCTGGAAGGGTGGGCGGTACTGACTGATTGCTTAGCGTTTAACCATATTTACTCAGGGTATACGTCGATGTGGGATATAAGCGACTCTTCAGAGTCATGTAATTGGACACAGCAACCACGGTGGATTTTCTTGGTTCGTTTATGTGTTGGTAACTAAAACTTTTTGAGTAGATGGCTGAAACAATGACGAAATGAAATGCCACACTGACGACACTGATGTGCCATCTAGTTAACGGATAGGAAATAACGACTAGGAAATTATGAATCAATTTTTCTTCGCCGAACTATTTTGCAAAAACCAAACATCATAAAAAGGAAACTAATCACAAGGTTGCTGATAACTCTTCGACAACCTTGGAGTTCATCAGGTAGGCACAGTCGAAGCGTTTTCAGCAACCTTGTGAGTAGTTTCCTTTATGAAAATATACTGTGATATCTCGAATATCGTGCCAACTGAATCATGAGGCGGCCTGTGTGCAGCACATTCAGTTAGAGGACATCATAAACGAGAGATTCAATTGAGTATCCCGTGAAAACCAAATTGATTTGCAAATGAGTGTATTTCTCGGGATCATACAAAGGAGTTACACGGCTAATCGTAACAAACGCTGACCTAGCACGTGACAAGAGAGTGACGAGACACTGCGGCTTAGTAATTACCGTAACGATCAACCGTGATAGAACTCTCAGTCTGTCGCCCTCATAAAACAAATGTCACCTTTGAGCAGACACAATAATTTGAAACGGGACCTTTGAAGGTCCAAATCGGGTTCAAGCACGGGTTCCTGCGTCTCTTTTTGAAAAGTTACCCTACACCCTATTCGTCGCTTCTGATGAAACACTTTGAAATTTAAGAAGATTCGAAGCCGGTAAATGTGGTACCACATTAATTCCCCAAGAATTCTTCTTTAAGGAGTACATAGAGTGGTGGAAAAAAAACAGCCACACGACTGTCATTGATAAATAAGCAGTGTGTTGCGAGCGGACAGATAATCGAACTTATATTGGGAACCAACCTAGATGATTAGTCTGACCGGCAAGTCTAATCAGAAATACGGAAAACGCAGCAGGTGGTGGTGGGGTCAGAAGCCAGCTGAATTTTATAAACGTCTGTAGTGACTACTGACTTTCGGAGGCAGTTACACCCATCATCCCCCAGAACTGTACCCCAACTCAGATAACTGAAAAAATGATCAATCGCCGGTTAATCTTAACAGTGCAATTTCGAGTCCAAAATTTCAGTATAACTCCGGGTGCAGCTAAAGGTGATATGTAAATTAGTGTATTTGTCGAAATTAGTCCACTCTGGTTGACGGAAATTAGGGGATTGATCCTACTGATAAACCCAAAGAAGCACGAAACTGGTCGTGGGCTGTCAAAGAGATTTCAGCAACCTTGTGAATAGTTTCCTATATGAAAGCATACTGCGATATCTCCAATACCGTACCAACTGAAACATGCTGTGCCTTTGTGAAGAACACTTAGTTTAAGAATATCGTAAACAAGAGGTTCAATTGAGTCTCCTGTGAATACCAAATTGATTTGCAAGCGGGTTTATTTGATGAACAGAAGTTTGAAGGACTACGCATCCGGCTAACCGAAGAGAGATGGATCAATCGATGCCGATTTGGCCGGTGGGACTGGAAGTCACCTACAGTCGTGGATGAATAAATTTCTGGTCGGGTAATATCTGCATTAGTTGGCGGCTGTTTGTCTTAATCTTAGTCTGGTCTTGTCTTAGTCTCCTTTAAACTGTGGACAGAATACAATGCCAGATGTTTGAACTGGACGCTGGGTGCTTTTTTGTTTAAACAACTGGAGGATGCTGATTTGACTTGAATCTTTCATTTGAACGACGGGACTGGTTCTTATTTGCCCGAAGCGTCCATTAGAACGGACCCGTGACATTTACAAGCAACCGATGTCTTACTGACCTGTACTCAAAACAGAAATTAACGTACACTATGCTGGTGGTAATCATGCTTACTTAAACTCAGTCGAATAGCCCAAGTAGCTCAAGGTGGACGTGTTTTTAGTGGTCACCGATAGCATTGGGGACCAGGTGCGTCATCGGTTGAGCAGCCCCGCTAACTTTCATCCAAGTGAATGAATGATCGGAACAGCTTCCAGAATGATGACCTGAACGACTGGGCATCCATCCACCAATCATCATTTGTCAGAAGAAGTGAGGGGCCTATTGTACGAAACTAAGATGACCACTTAGATGATCTCCTCACCCAGTGCCCGTGAAGTGTAAGCCTGAAGGAATCGAATCGTAAGCGCTCAGGATATTGGATGCAAGTGTGCTGTGTCTGATGAAATGACCTTGTTTTCTTTTATGAAGAGTGTATTGCCCCTCTGGTACCTCTGGTGCGTGGGATCGTTCATCCATATAACGCGGTAAAAATGAATGTACAAACCGCATGCATATTGGGCGTATGATCTCAATTTGCTCCGGTAATGGTGGAAAATACTGATCGGGCAATCCACGATGTTGAATGAATGTCATGTGTAGATGGAAGATTTAGCCTGGTTGTTTCCATCCAAAGCCAACGCTACTTCCAGATTCAGGTGCACTGATATTTAACATTCGTTCCTCTCCACCAGGAGTTCTGCATAGAATGTGATTTTCAACTGAACTTTTGATTGGTGCTCAATGGAAGATTGTGGACATCCATGTAGATTCGAACAAAATATTGAGAAATCCTATCCACAAGCAAAAAACCATTTAGTAAGGCATCCTAATCGGATTATTTCGAAGTCCATCGAATACGCAGAACTCAAAGCAGACAATGAATGAAATTACACGCTAGTGAAATACACTCAGTTGCAAACAAATTCGGTTTTGCGAGAGACTTACATGGAAGCCAGCTGAATCTCTCGTTCGTTTCTAGGCAAGTGAATGTCCTGCACCAGGCCGCTCCATGTTTCATTTGCTACGATATTCGAGATGCGGCAATACATGTATATTCGTGATTCACTACTCATAAGTTCGAAGAATTTTTCACAACCTTACGAGTAGTGCATTACGAAATTCAACGTTGTTCTCATGTTCTAAGTTGACCAGAACAGTATAGTTGATAACACTGTAGATCTGCGTATGACTGTAAGTTGGTTGACTAAATCACGTGATACAATTACAAAGAGACGCCTCTGCATTTTCAAGTGCAAGAAAAATGCTTGTGTGTACACATGCGTGTGTGTACACATGAGTCGATAGTTTGAGACAGACTCTGAGTATGAAGCTGATATAAGGCACCTAGCTTATCACAGTCCATGTTGAATATTCATATAAGGAGTATCAGAAAATATTATTTTTGGGCAGAAGGAGTTGCACTAAAAAGATGAAACAATTCGTTCCCGGTGACCGTCACCCTCATTTCCCCTATCGGTTTGTCAGTTTTGTTCATTAATTCAATAAAAACAAAACAAAAAGCAAAACAACTCGGCATATATTTGGGTTTAATGCAACGCGGAGATTCACGAAGTAAACGGTGCATTAGAGGGAAACTGTTGTCCAGTTTTACTCCTGTGAATGTATGGATTACAGAACCTAAATTGTTTACACCAAAATATGGTGCCTTGAATAGCAGCTGGATTCTATTACCACACCCCAAGGATGTGATACAAATAAAGTTCACAGACGGAAGGTTGTCATACAAGTTTTCCTCTCGGAATAATCACTGACTGATGGAATAAATATTCGTATAAAGTATGGAATTTATCTTTCTTAGGGTTTGGGCTACAGAATTCATCTGCACATGCCATTTCAATCCAACCCATTCTGAAGCCTCATTGATTGCGCGATTTAGGCCCGTCCTTCATTCACAAAAGGAAATGAGTCAGATGTTGCTCCCATCCCGGCTGGTTGTATAATTCTAACCCCCAGTCCAAATTTGGATTTTAAGTTTCCAATAGCGAGTTGCAGGCTTGTCTGCTCTCTACTGTTGTGGTTGACAAGGTCGTTTAAACTTTTATCATCTGGAACAAACGATCTTCTTTCTGTATGGCCATTCATGATGATCTAATTTGATCCAATTGCTCTAACTTCATGGAATTCGAGGGTTAGTTGTGCCCCAATTGTTTGTACACACACACCGCACTATCTTGCACGCTGACTGACTGGAGACCAATAGCAATGTAATTTCGAGTTCGACTTTGGTGCGTTCATGGTTGATCGCCTCACCTACAAACAATAGTCCTATCACGTTTACCCGAATTTCTTTGCTTATCCACTTCTGCCTTATGACTAGGCGGACAGAATTAAATGCACCGCGTGGGCGGTCGTCTCGATCATCGTTTCGAATACCAGTGCTGCCTTAGAGCTATTTTTTTATTACATTGAGTGCTAGCTGGACAGCTCTAACGATGACCAGTCAGAGTACTCTTCCATCCTACGTTCCACTGCTATTTGGACTGTCCTACTGAGGTTGAGCGTCCTCATTGTTTCCGCTTTTTGGGTAGGGCTACATGTTTACCACTGATAGGAATAACATCAATTTCTGCTATGAGAACACACAAGCAGGATATCGATCAATCAGTTAAATAATTCCTCTAGTTTCGGCCATTATTTGTACATCTGTAGTTACTATTCCTTCATTTAAAGTCACGCTGGTAAACTAATACCATAAAAGCCGTACTTTTCAAGTAACTGTATCATACAGTTTATCCAGTTGTAGGTGAAAGAGCATACTGCTACGGTCAAATTCGGTTGGGTTGGCTGTATGCTTTCCTCCTCATCTGGTGTTCACAGGCCAAATCATTGCGCAAAGAAATGATTTTTGCATGTGTTTTCTGGAATAGACCCACCATCAAGTCTCTTAAGTCCGTAAACATGCTTTGTTCTACACGTTAGTGTTGTTTAGAATCGTAAGGCTTGACGGCCGTAAATTAATTTTTCGCCCATACATGGGCTACAAAACAACCAATAGGATTCGTACCTATCCGACAACCACTGAAATAGTCCGTCACCCCTCGGACTCAATCGGTTCTCTCTTTCTCTGTCTCTCCCCATCCTCTAACACAATCGCAGTCTGGGCCAATAGTCATACCAACTTACACGGCGACTTGTGTTGACAAGGTCTCGGTGTGAAAAGGACAAGCGGAGCAGACGAGTTAAATTTGAGCAAAAAAAAGAACGGAAGACTTGTGCAGTTTGGATGGAATTATTAAACATGCCCTTCTGTTTATCAACGGACATTTCAGCACCAATAGAATTTTTGGACTTTTCGGCGGGCCGTGCTTCACCATTTGCATGTTTCATACAAGACCAGCGCACAACAAGTTTCATAAAACAGCACTCAACTGAATTTGCCGGAGGTAACAAGCAGCGACTAACAACCAGATCACACCGGCGATACGTCGCAAACATCCGAGAACGAAGACGTATGAAAATGATAAACACCGCCTTTGATGGGCTACGTGCGCGTCTACCACCAGGTTGGCTTAGCGAAATTTCCTCGCGCCCAAACAGTATACAGCAAGCTTTATCTCCTGACAGCATATATGAAGATGATCTAGCCCTATCCGATTGGTCAGATCGGAAGTCGAAGTCACCTAATACTGGCAGCGCAAAAGTGGATATTTTGCGAGGAGCTATTGCCTACATAAATGCTCTCCACAGGCTTCTTGCTGGTGTGAATCAACATTTGAACCTTAGCAGCCGTTATCTGCCTTCAGAAGAATCTCAAGGTAGAATCATGGGCATTGAGGAACCCATCTTGCGGAGGCATACCTGTGAACTTCATCCAGCCTGTGAAGTGCTGAATGAAGATGGCAGGAAATGTGCTGGTATATCGGGATCCGCAAAGGGTAAGCTGCCCAAATTTATCGTGAATTCGTTTATCAGAATAGAACGTGTTGTGCTACAGAAAGGTGAAATACCAGAGCTCACTTTAACTGAGTATTCCGAGTTCTAAAGGAGGTTGATGTCAGTTTTATTATCACGTGTACATGTTATTTTTTAAAAAAAATTCCATAAATGATATAGATGACAACCTTTTGAATAATGGGAAACATCTGTTCTTGCATAAGCTCCTCTGCTTAGTGAGCAATCAGAGTTAGCTTTTCTGAAATCGTATTTGGACGAACGGCCAAATGGTCCTCGTATGACTATCACCATATATGTAACAGTAAATTACATTTAAAAAAACATCCTGCATAGAATTTGATCGGAAATTCGACTTTCCCTCAACCAACATATTTTAAAAATTAAGCCACCTTCACTCATATAAATGCCAAGTGGATGTTGCATTCAGTCGAATAGTAGGAAGGTGGGCACAAGAAGGTAGGACTGCTTTGAAATCACTTTCATATATATCATCACGATTTCTTTCACTCAGGTATCCAAAACAAGACACAAAACCGAGCGATGGCTTCAAACGTATATGCATACAAAATTTTTCGACCCCCTGTCTTGCCTTGCTAAGAAGTTTCAACTTGCTTTTTGTGGCAGCTCTGACGAAGATTTGCTATGAAAAAATTCCATTAATATTACAACAACAGGAACATAACAAACAGTGTGTGCTACTACTTGGCTACCAGCCGGAGGTTGTTCGCCCCGTTTTAGCTTGCTTTAGACAAGTAGAAATGAGTCAAGGTGGCATTTTTTTGAGGTTATCAGACTCACAGATTCACCCACTTGTAAAGCAGTGTTTCCTTAGCTGAATTGTTTCTAGTTAAATTATAGTCAGTTCAATAAATTTATAACTATAAATTCGAAAAAATAGTTGCTTCCGATTCATTTCATAGATGTTGTTCACTAACAGTGACTGCATTTTTTAGGATGCCGATAGTCGGAAAGGCTATAGCCAACGACACACTTTAAGTTATTTTGCGGCAAATGGAGTGATGGGACGAATCGTTCAATTCCGTCTATTTGTTCAGTTTCTGTGTGACATTCTCAGAACCATGTTACGCAACAATTTTAAATTTTTCTCCTGTACTGTATGATGATACAGTGATGGTAAACAAAGGCTATCTCGCAGTTTATTAAACGGACTCTGCTTATTATCTCAAACGATAAGAACGAATATCGCTCTTTGACATAGCGGCAGTGCAGTATCGTTACTAAACAAACTTAAGCTGCCCAGCATGAACCGTACATGACAAATGTGGTCATACGGGAAAGATGTAATCCAAAGTGCAGTTCAGTCTTGGTGTGCATCATTATCTAGACAAAGCAGGGTCGATCGTTTTCTAATTGGGTTCACGGTTCACGCTCCATCTTTCGATCAAACCAAGTAATATTTTGTAGACTTGCAATGCTTCATCCGTGGTCTTGTTGCCTGCCAAAAATCAAAATCAAACCTCAAAACATGCTCTAGTCGGGGCGATTATTTCGTCACGGAGCTTAATTTCTATACGCGTATCTGTCTCTGAAAAATATGCCTTCACACAAGACAACTATTATCTGGAACGATCCAGTGAATTTCTCTGATGAGCCCTCGATCATAGACGAAACTAGTTTGTATTATCCATTCATACTGTCCTATTGGAGGGAGATGTCTGTAGCTTGAAGTCTGCAAGAGCCACGTGGAGTGAATACCGTTTAATCAACAGTCACTGAACGTGTCGAAAATTTTGTAGCATGATTACTAGGCCATTCTAAGTCGTTGATACTGTCTCCTTAGACTGACTCACTATTTTATTCGCTTGATTCTTATACATAAGACGTTGCACAATGGACAGTACGCCCATCATTTCCAACATTCCTATATTACAAAACCAGCTTATTGAACACTGGTCAGGTAACTGTCGAATATGCCGGGGCCAGTTTCAAGCTTTTAGCTTTGACGACAAGCGCAACAATAAATCAGGACTTTCTGCCATCCACATCTCGCACTTTTCAAAACATGGTAGCCTGTGCACCATGTAGACTAGGAATCCGACTGATTGCCGATGATTATCCAAGTGTGAACTGTCAGCTGATCAGTTCTGCCAGCTTCTCCTTACGTACTTCAGTCAGGTCTTGGTGTGATGGATTACTCACTTGCACGATCAACAACTGCTACATGAATATTACTTCGTTGATCTACAAGGCCCTAGACTCGTAACGATCAGAACGCTAGTTAGGAGGTCGGGAAATTGTAAGAAGAGTAGTCCAATTGATCTCCTTCTGTAGCAACATCCTCAAGAGATCAAATGAAGTTCATCTCTCCTGAAAGAGCCTACATTTGAACTGAACTTCAATGGAAGATATATTTAACCAATTCTACTAAATGCTACTTACTTTTGATGAGTAGTTCAGTACCCAGCGCACAATTTGTGTCAATGCTTTGCAACTTGTGCTGCATGCATTAAGTAAATTTGTGGGCCCCATTACAGAGAACATTGTGCTCCTCCTAGCAAGATGAGTACACTGATGATGTCGGAATCTCAAATAAGATCAGACACTTTATTCTGTTTCACTATTTTAAAAGAATCCTAGGGAGAAAGCCAAAGCTCTGGTAGGAGTCCTCGGGTTAGCGGCTTATGATGTAGAATACGATGCGTTTGAAGTTGAGCTGTTTCGCTATTCTCGTCCAATTCCAAAAGTCCTGTTTTCGCGTGACACTTTTATGACGCGCAGAGCGTTTAGTTCCAGCTAATAGCCTCGGGATACGTTCTTTGAAAGAATAGTGCCTACTGGTCAGTATACACACAGTACTCTGGGATAAGCTCTAGGTTTAACAGAAATTCCAACACGCGCTATTGAAATGAGCTAACCGTGGCTCGTATTTGCACGCTTACACTTCTGGCTTCTATGTTAACTAGGAAACCCCATTTGTTTATCCGCTTTAGCCCGCTTGTTTGCCGGAGGCAATAAGTTCCATGAACAATAGCGCAAACGAACATTGACGCGATTCTATTTGCTGGTTAAATGCAGGGCAGTTAAATAATTTCACAAACCCGGGCAAAATGAAATGACTTTTATTTCAGCTGCGCATAGAATTTGCACCAATTCTTTATCGTTTNCGTAGTTAAATCAAGAGAAAAGGTGCAAAAAAGTTTCACTTCAACAAAAAACCCTAACGGACATCATGGTGGCATTGTGAACAGAATTTCGGCAATCCTGCCAGTGACTTTGACTTTATCCCAAAGGCTTTGTTTGCAGGCAGGGAGTGACTTCAAGGCGTACCTACTACTTTGTAAATCGTTTTACTCCAAAAATGGGAGAAATTTTTAAAGTTCAGTTATACGGTTATTCCGGCTGCGAACCTCAAACCTCCTGCTTACATTCCAAGTTGTTGAAAAAAATTTACACACTGAATATTTGTCACAAACTAACCAGTGCGATGTTTTTCAATCCGAATTGTAAGGCAAATGATTAGTAACCCATTCGAACCTGTGAGATGCTGAACTTGTCAGCCACACTATCGTTAAATTTAGTGCACTTTCCAGGTCTGTTCCACAACATCCAGTGTCACCCCTTGAATTCTCAGAGGCATATTCAAAGAGTATACTTCCTGTAGCAGGAATTCGCACTTTGTGAACGCAAACCACACGCCGAAGGACTGGTGACCTTGGTTGGATTTTGAAGTAACGCATGCGCCTCCTGCTATATTCCGGAAATGAGAACGGTGTCGTCTGCAGGCCAATATGTTTCTTTTTCGGAAAGATCTAAGAACCGCAATTTTAGGGACACTTAAGTATTCACCTCGTTATCTCACCAACAACGAAACAAGACAAAAATAGAGAGAGTGGGCATCCTTGCCGGACACCACTGATGGTATGAAAGGTTTTGGAGAGAACAACGCCACCCCAACATGCCAACAAGCGCGTGAATACAAACACCATGTGATATCGACGAACAGGGGCCGACCAGTTGTGAGAGCGCGTTGAAAAGGACTAGCCGGTCGACAAACCCGAAGGCACTCTTGAAGTCAAGAAACAACAAGACTGTAAGTCACCTCTTCGCATGCCGTCGCTCCAACAGTTGAATGAGTGTGAAGATGTGATCCAGAATAAAAGTATCCATTTGCTGTTCTCCGGTCTTTTATTCACGCGCATTCGTTAGAAGACGTACAATGAACAAAATGAATAGTCTGGTTAAAAACGGCGTCAAGCCGATTCCTCTGTGATTGCCACACCAACTCCGAGCTGCCTTTCCGTAAACTGGCACCGTTATCGACTCACCCCATTTAGTTGAGACGTACTTTTTCTACCAGCTAGCGATAAGTTTGTGCAGCATTGACTATTTCAACTCAATGTTCGAAAAGAGGTCGTGGAAGTTCGTCACGATTAGTAGGTTGATAATGTTTGAGAGGCAAAAATGCATTGGTTTATTTCCGAAGCCTCCGAGCTTTTCAGGTTTACTGTTCAGGGATGAGCACTAGTTGGGAATCCGGCTGAGAAACTGCAGACGGCCAGCTGAATTCGTTTTGAAAATGTTCAGTCCAAAGATTCCAGAGCTATTGTTTTTTTACGGTTAATCAAGTCATTATTATCGGTGGTTGTTTGACTCACCGGACACCCCTTTGAGTCAGTAACACGCGTCACCTGGAGCAGTTTACGAAATTTCTCAGAGTTGCAAAATCGGGGACGGTACCTTGCTGTGAGCATCGACATCAGTAGACGCCTTTTCTGAAAGGGACTTCGGTAGGTGGTTCTGTGAACATTATTTCACATCACGGTCAGAGATCTCAGTGACCATGTAGTGTGCGCATCTCGTGCGCCCCGGAAAGCGCAAAGTGGAGCAGCAACATGATCAGAAGGTACATAGGTGTTTTAGATCGAACAACAGTTATTAGTTAACCCAGACCATTTATGGCTAGTGATGATGTGGTGTTTCCGTTCTGAAAGTTGGCTCGCACTTGGTGTTAAATAGTAGTAACATGCGCCTAGGGAAGAAATTCATTGCGAATATTCAGCAGCACTTTGAAAATCAAAGTCACATAAATCTAGTAGAATAGTGTATTTGTTAAGTTGTGCTTATTCTTGCTCTCCATGTCTGTGAATCCAAAGACGTACTTTGGCCTGCATGAACCATAAGGCAAATAATTGTTAATGGAACCGGAAAAAGCCTGACACAACAGTTTGAATTACTTGGGTAAGCCACTTAAAACGTACCCCTAAGGTTGGGCATGAAGCGATGGATTCCTCTGGTTGGACTAAAAACTTCAGCTGTGCTTTCAGGAACAGGTTTAGAAAGA